TATCTGGGGAGCTGGAGGCTGAGAACTGGCGACTATGTAGTACAACTTTAGTATGCGGAGCAACCTGTGGAGCTGGAACCTGAGAACTGGCCATTTTGCAGTACAACTTTAGTACGCGGAGGAGTCATCTCTTGTGACTGAGTCATCTGTCCCTGCTGAGTCATCTCTCGCGACTGAGTCGTCTCTCGCTGCTGAGTCATCTGTGGTTGCTGAGTCATCTCTCATTGCTGAGTCATCTCTCGCTGCCCACTCATAATACACCACTCATCATACACCACTCGTCATACACCCCTCATCATACAAGACTCATCATACATCACTCATCATACACCACTCATCATAACCCAACACTGGTTACAGTTGATTGTTTTGTCAACAGGTAAGTTTGTACTGAAGGTTGAAGTCCGGAGCGCGTGCGTTTGACTGGGGGACGCACGTGTTTGAGAGAACCGGAACACTCCTATAGGTCAATTTCTTCTTGTAGGAAACTTCCGCCGCCGGCTTGCCCGGGAACTACTTGTAATGATACTGTTGTTTGTTTGTTTGTTTGTTTGGTTGGTTGGTTGGTTGGTTGGTTGGTTGGTTGTGGTTGTGATTGCCTCCATTGGGCATATTGAACTTTCACCGTGGCCGGAAAGCGTTCCCTCTCACTGACAGGCAGGCAAGGGGGAGGGAGGGAGAGAGGGAGAGGGGGAGACAGGGAGAGAGGGAGAGAGGGAGAGAGAGAGAGAGAGAAAAAAAAAAAACAGGAAGGAACAAAAGGTAGAGGATTTCAATTTGTGCGTTATCATCTTCCTGCGGCTGGCTCCAATGCCACGCACGCACGTCTATGATTGTCATTTTGGATTGATTGATAGGTTCCGAATGAGAACATCTCTGCCGTCAATAAAGAAACCTTGTGTGCAACAAGCCATATCCCAGCATTATTAGAAGATGTTAGAAGGTAGAGCTGCTGTCCCTCATAAAGGGCAATAAGCATCCAAGTTGTATGACTCCTGGTTCAATAATATGGACAGAATGGGCACGCCAGGGTAGGCTGATGAGGACACGTCAAAGAAGGCAAAGAACAGCAGAGGTGTTGGATAGCTAGGGCTTGAGAGCCCTCGCTTCGGAAAACAAGAACATGCTCAAGTGCCCAAGTGGCAATGACACCGTCTTGCTGCTCTCGTCATCACCAACTGCGGAAGACGCAATGGAGTACAAACGGATCTTGGCAGGCGTGGGCACTCGTGAGCAGCACTGATCTAGATTTCGACCAACCACCAAATGCACACGCAAGTTCACAATCAGCTTCAAGACCATCCAAGACCTAATTGCAAAGAGTCATCTGAATATTATATAATGACCACTACTATACAGGGCAGAGAAGCATTTCTTGGCCAAGATTCCTTGGCAGGTGTCTCGCCCTTCTTGTCAGGACCTGATCTGCAAATGCGTGAGTCAAAAGACACCGTCAATCTCAACGCTACCATGACATGATGTCATGAAGTTCACTAACTCGATTTCCAATCGAAGGCCTAATCTCTATGGAAGAGCAGACTCAAGGCATGAGAGTAGCGCTATAGACCTTTTGGTCGAGTCTATCTCCTTGTGGTAGAACATGTTCACAACATCACCCTTTTTCAAGCATTGACCAAGCTCGGGCAACGGAGCTCAACAAAATAAATACAACCAAAAAGCATACCAAAAAAACACTACACTCACACAGCTGCTACTTGTGAACACAGCAACCCCGCAAGCGAACCTGGAGCAATCACGCCAATTGATTGTCCTCAAACCAAGCCACAAGGGCAAACAAAAAGTGAACAACACAGGGAACGCATCTCGGAAATATTGCCGGGTAAAACGCTAACCTCATTTAACAGCCCATCCTGAAGCACTTCATGTTTTGGTAGGTTCGAAAAGTGATGTTCAAGCCCGTCACACGCCAGTTGCGATGGATTCAAGAACCCCGGCCCTTTGATTTGCCGGGGCCATGGGCCATGTTCTTCAGAACATGGATATGTATGTACAGTGGGGGGATGTTTATGGCTGCATGGCTTGGGTCGCATGTATCTGCTGTCGGTGGCTGGGTTGGTTCGCGGCACGATCGATTCAGCGCTCCTTCGATGTAAGGCACCTTGCCGCCATGGTTGAAGGTCACATGGCAGGTTTCCCAATTGGCGTCCCCTGTCTGTTCAGTGAGGGTGTGAGGCTGCACGTCATTCTTCACCACCTCCGCAAGTTAGGCACTTGGCAAAGGCGACCAACAAGCTTGAGCTGTCTGCCACATTCTGAAAGTGCAAAAGCATTACGACCAACACTGATGAGATGCATTCTATGATGTCAGTTCTGGTGAGCTCTTGCCTCACCCTTGTAGGGTGCCTTTGGCGAGAAGAGGTTCCATGGAATCTCCTTGCCATGCACTACCTGAAATTGAGCAAGGTGAAGTGGTTATAGACGCGATGGCCCCCAACCTAGCAGGGATATATCCGTATCACATGGGTTTGCAGGCCGAGGTTGGAACCTTGACGCCCTTCTTTTTCACAGCAGCTGCACGGCAGGCTGTTCGCGCCTCGGACCTCCTGCATGGGCATGATTCGCAGTAGCACAATGGGAATGACAGGAGAATTGACAACTTCCACGTTTGGAACTTGTCGCCCACCAAATCGAAGCAGGTGGCATGCTAATCCTGTCTGAGGGGCCACCAGACCTTATCCACCCGTATCCACGTGTCTCTTGTGGCGACTCATCCCAGCTCCACTGTCAGCTCCTTCCGGCTGCTCCCACCAATGCCACTGCAGCACCCAGGCAAATTCCGGCGCCGCTTGGCCCAGAGCTGAAGCCGCTGTGATCATCCTGTCTGTAGCCCCTCACTGGCGTTGTAACGTCACCAACGGCCACAGCAGGCCCTGGTGAGGCACCAACAGTGAAGGCAAGGGCCTTGGCTGATGCAGCACAACCTGGAAGAGTCTGCTTCAGGTGACAGCGTGCGTAATTTGCCTTCCCATTGAAGAAAAGGGACACTAGTAGATTGGGGTTCCTTCTCTTATTGAACCAAGCCACCATGGCAAACGAAGGTCAAACACGTAGAGCGGCGGCTGAGCAAAGCGGCTGAAGGTGAGTATCTGTGCCGGTCCCTCTGCAAATGTCACAGCTGCTTCGGGCTTGCAGATCAAAAGGCCGCTTTCACAAGTGCCAAGTGCTGATTGAGTCCTTCACATGTGTCTCCTTTTGACATGTGCACATTTTGAGCTTGTGCCTCCTGCTGGAAGAACCTGTCTCCGCCAGTGCTGGCAAACCCACTGGTCCATGCGTTGCTCTATGATGCTAATGATGTTGGGCAGCTTAACAAGTTTTGCTGGCTCCCTGTCTATTGCAAAGAAGGCCACTGCTTGGTTCCAGCTACACTATAGACTATACTATACATTGATGTATCCTGGCCACATTCCCGAAATCAAAAAAGTGATTGTCTTCTACGACCTTCACTCATGCCAGTTTGTGGAAGCCTGCTGGCTGACACAAGCATTCCATCAAGAGCCAAGCCAAGAGATGCACTGGCGCTGAAGGGCAAGCAGACCGATCAATGCTTGAGCTTGCCAACAAAACTCTCCCATATGTGTTGCTCAAAACCGCACACAAGTAGATAGAACCGCTTGGAATCTTTGAACGTTCGCTGCCGTTCCCGCCTTCAACATACATCCACTTCACCTGTGACAATTGGCCTGAAAGTATCTGTTCCCTGTCTCTGCCTGCGGAACGTGACTGTCATTCGGCACGGCGCACTGTAAGGCCCGCTAACAATTTTGCAGGTGAGCGAATTGTTCATCACTTGGATGTTAGGAATCTGCAAAGTAGATCGAAGTTGCAGTTGATGACAAGAAGGATGTTCTGAGCTGACTGACAACATTGAACAAAATGACATACATAATACGGAGAGCAAATCCATCTCACAAGAGCAACTAATTCCAGTCACAGTGAAGGCCATCTCTGGCAGGCACGGTGACTGTGGGCAGTCTGGAGGAAAAAAGTATAGGAAAGCCGGAAAGCATTGCAGTAATTGCACCAATGTCAGCTGGTCCCTGTTGGGTCGCTGTGGCTCACAGTAAATGGTTCTCTCATCTTCTCTCCATTCCCGCCACGTGCATCTGAATTAGAAGACTTGGATACTGTACAATGGCAGTCAGCGGCTTAAATTGGGCCGCTCATGCCAACACAAACAAGCTCGTCGGGGCTTGTGTTGCCTATCATCCTTTGGTCTCACCTTATCTCAGCCTCACTCGGCATCAAGTAGCCGGGAGCCACTCCTGTCCTTTTCAAGTTACAACCAATGAACGCAAACGAAGCCTTAGCGTACATGTCATTGAATTTAAAACAATTCCTAGGTCGTCGGTTATTTTCATTATTTTCACAACTAAATTTAGTGACGTCGTCTAAATCACGAAATTATTTTTACGTCGTGTGCCCTAACGCCCCCAGCCAGCCAACACGCTGGCCAGCCAGGGGCGACCAAAGCTGAAGCCACGTGTCCACCTGCGCGTGAAAAGGCTCTGGTTAGGTTCTGCTGTTGTGTTTGTTTTGGTCTTAAAGGGAAAGGTTTACGGGTCCAAAACATTTTCTGGGGGGTGTAGTTCGCTTTACTACAAGTGAAAACCCTTGTTAGGGAACAGTTTTGTTGCTTCTTGTTGTTTATTCCTAGTTTGTTGAACTAGAGCGTTTTTACTTCTTACAAAGGGGGAACATGTTTTTATCCAAAACCTATTTTTGGGGGCGTAGTTCGCTTTACTACAAGTGAAAAACCTTGTTAGGGAACAATTTCTTGTTGTTTATTCTAGAGCGTTTTTACTTCTTACAAAGGGGGAACATGTTTTGATCAATGTCACCTGCCATCGCTGCAGCCAACACCGAATTCTTCCGGCAGTAGCCATCCAATCCGCCAACAATCCACACTCACCCCCACATAAAAACTGAACTCAATCGCTAAGGCCAAAAAATGACTTGCAAGCATTTTTTCCCAGCGTAGTTCGCCGACCTACAACCAAATAAAGCCCCAACAATCCACCTTAAGGCCGCGAGCCCTCGAATCCTAGTTCGGCGAACTAGGCCCGAAATCTTTTTGGGGGGGCCCTTCTGAAAAGGAGAGCTTCTTTGTTTCCAGGCCCAGAACGTGGAAACCCGACAACTAGCTATGAAACAAGCTCCTGTTGTGAATGAAACTCGTGTTAGGATCATATACTTCACCTATGAGCTCGGTAAAGTTTATGGGTTCGACTCCCCCTGCCCCCCCCCCCCTGTTTCCTTTCGGTGGCTTGGCCCAAAATCTTGCTTCAAGAGACAAATTTGACAACACGCAAAGGAAAGCCAGCCAAAACCATTTTTTCCCAGCGTAGTTTGCCGAGATAAAGCCCCAACAATCCACTTTTAAGGCCGCCAGGCCTCAAATCCTAGTTCGGCGAACTAGGACCGAAAACGATTTTGCCAGGAAAGAACAAGTCAGGTTGGGTGTGAAAGGGAAAACAACCAGACCATGACTATTTCAAGTTCCAAGGATCTTTTTCGTCCACAAGCTCTGGCTGAATGCGCCGTCTCTGAGAGGCTTTGGGGCTTGGGAACATTCTTGGCCGAATGCGGTCCGTAGGTGTTGTTGGGCACTCATCATGGCTAGAGGGCCGCTTCATGGGGCACAACTAAAAGAACTTCAAAACTTCCTGACCTCGGAGCTCGGTAGTGTTTTTTAGTGGTGTGGAGAGTGAGCAGGTGAGGCATGACTTCTTAGGTGTTTTTTGCAAACTCGAGCCTGAAAACTCAAGCAAAACTCAAACTGACTGACATATGAAGGCTAAACGGAGGGTGAGTGGAGAAAGGGAGTCAGCAAAAATCGCTTATATGAAGTTAGTCATCAAAAATACCTTCCACGAAGTTCTGCGAAGGTTTCTGGGATTTCGTTGCAGTCAGTTCTCCTGCTGGCCCACCATTCCACGAACTGTCCACGAACAGCCTTGGGCTCTACGAAGGTCACGCGCCTTCCACGACGTTAGTAGAATAGGTTTTTGCAAAACCCTTTCTGTGCACTACCCTTCCGTTTGCCTTTGACTAGATCCAGTACCCTGCCCACGCCCGCCCACGCCTCCAAAATCTCTGCCAGGACTGTGAAGTCGATGAAGTGTGTGTGTGTGTGTGTTTTGCGTGTGTGTGTGTGTGTCTGTGTGATGTTAGTATGACCATAACTATAACTTAATTTCAGGGTCTTGCTCGTTATTTCGGGGTGACGTCGGTGACGTCGTTTTAAATTGCCTAGTTTGATTGCTGCTGTTGGCCTCAAAGCTCAATGCTTCTGTTCCAAAAAATTGCTCGCTGATTCTCGAGCTCAGGAAGCGTCAGCAACCCCCAACTCGCACCTGGCAAAGGAGAAATGGATTGGATGCAAATGGTTCCAACTCTCGTCCACACTGAAAACATATGATCATATGTATGCGAGATGCACAGTAACTGCGAGTAGTATATGTTGCCGTAAGAAACCAGGAGAAACACTGTTTGAAACCCCTTCCAGTCTGCAGAGTCGCACGTTGGAGTTGGAGACCATATCCAAATGCGATCGCTCCAAAGGACCTCTAAGGCCTGGTCAGCACAGCCGACGAGTCGACCCAGCGGACAAGGTGGCTCTTCTGCTCTTCTCGGGTTCTGCTTCCGGAGACACGGAAAGCAGCTGGCTCGCTTCGGTCCGCTTCGGGTTTTGAAGCTACATGGAGCCATGCGTGTCATGATTAGGTTCGAAAAAACCCTGCAAGTCGTTTCATCGGCCTCCCGTTTGCGACACGGGACCCAGATCACGCTTGAAGTCTCGCTTGGTGTTGGAGGTATCCGGGACTCCAAGGTGTGGGCCTGGAACGATCTTCGCCCGATTTGCACTGGCAAGAGCTTATCTGTTGTTTCAAACAGTGGCAGAAACACGGTCATTTACGGTAACATATGTGCGGCTGTCACAACTCCTTGTTCAATCTGCCATCACTGCCACCACATAGATTTGGGGGCGCTCATCACTTCCCTTTTGGACAACTTTATATATTGAATTTGAAAGGATGGCATTGCTTTCTTGTAGTTAGATTAGATTAGTTAAGGCAGGTTTCAACGTTCAACCAAGCAAGTCTAAGTGCACGTATGAGCAGAAGCACTCAAAGGAGACAAACAAGCTCAGCTGACTGCTGCAGTCTTTACCTCTTCCATATCAAAAAACATGCAAAAACATGCCATGAGAACATGCGGAATTCTCTTTCAGATCACGAAGCTAAACATGAAAAACACGTCAAACAAATACACTTGGACATCTTGGACTAATTATATATATATACTGTATATGTTCATCCTTCATGTTCTGGCAGGGCATGGCTTTTGGGCGGGCCATCGCTTCCCTGGGTTTGGGCAAAATCATGCAAAGTCTTAAGATTGAAGGCGGCTCACATCTTCTGCTCTACGTACCGTGCTTTGACGATGTACAGGAGGGTATATGGTGTTAAATATTGCTATTAAGTTCAAATACATGCACACATTCATTAAAAAACATAGAACCCGAGCATCCCCTGCTTCGGAGGATCAACTATCCAAAATACCGCCTTTTCCCACCAAATGGGTTCTAGGTGTGTGTGTGTGTGTGTCAACCCCTGTGCCTAAGGGTTCCCACAGTACGGTTTGGAATCTTTCTTCCTGCGGGGGCGTGTGACACTCTTATCCTATCACACGCAACGAAGCTGTGGACAAGAGTGGAGTGGGAAGGGAAACTTGGCCAGTTTCCTGTACCTGCGACGCAACTGTTGATCACACGCTGTCCAATTTCCTTTTTTTGCTTCCATGGTGGTTCATGATACTTCCCACAAACCCTTTTCCTACCGCTGAGCTTGCCACCGCCGCGTCTTGTAGCATGTCACCGCAGTCAAGTGAAGAACTCCTTTGTTAAAACACCTTCAAATCTTTCGACCTTTCGCCTTGCCGTTCTTTCTTTTCGACCTTCTTTTCACTTGGGAACTGAGTTAACAGAAAACCAATGTCAGAGTGTGAACCGCTCAGTCGTCCCACTTGGGTGCTGGGTGTGATCCTCCGCAAGGAGGCGCCGTTCTGATTCCGGAATTCGTGTAACTGCTTTCATCGTTTCCACCACACCTCGGATTTTCTTAACAGCCTTAGTGTCACCACTGCGTTGCCTGAATCACAAGCCGCCGGGCTTTCACGGGCAGAACTGCTCAGATTCATGCTTGCAGCCTACTTTCAATTTCAAGAGTGTACAGTTACACATTTTCCACCATGGACCAATCCTGGAAAATCCGGGACCCCACTAGCGCAGGCAGCCAGCGCCTTGCTTTGTCAGGCCTTGCCTGTCGCCTACATGCAATTTACACTTACAGCTACCCACCAACCACAGCCGCTGATGAGCTAGTCAGACTATACGTCCTAAAGGGACACAATGCGAAAGATTGTCAGCGCTTTTTGAGAAAAATCACACGTGCGCCGATGACGGCCACGTGTGTGTGTGTGTGTCAACCCCTGTGCCTAAGGGTTCCCACAGTACGGTTTGGAATCTTTCTTCCTGCAGGGGCGTGTGACACTCTTATCCGATCACACGCAACGAAGCTGTGGATAAGAGTGGGAAGGGAAACTTGGCCAGCTTCCTGTACCTGCGACACAACTGTTGATCACGCTGTCCAATTTCCTTTTTTGCTTCCATGGTGGTTCTGATACTTCCCACAAACCCTTTTCCTACCGCTGAGCTTGCCACCGCCGCGTCTTGTAGCATGTCAGCGCAGTCAAGCGAAGAACTCCTTTGTTAAAACACCTTCAAATCTTTCGACCTTTCGCCTTGCCGTTCTTTCTTTTCCACCTTCTTTTCACTTGGGAACTGAGTTAACAGAAAACCAATGTCAGAGTGTGTGTGTGTATATATATACATCTGTATGTATATATATATACAAAGACACGGACGCAAATATAGATGTCTATCCGGTTTTCTGGGGCAGGACCTCTCTGAACCGGGCCTACAAAGCCTGGCACAGACCGCTGAACAGCTCCACCTGAGCGACCGCTGAAAGTAAGCTGAGTAGCAAATACATGCAAATACTAGTTACACCAGCTAGGAAGCAAATACTGTAATTGTTTGATCATGTTTGCTATACCTGAGTTTCTAGGTCCACAAATTTAGAAACATCAGGCTCTCAGGAGGTGCTACACGGTTCTAATCTGTGATGTACATGGTGCATCAATGTGCATCAATGTGCATCCGGTGATTCACACGGCAAGACGCTTCCTAAGTTGAGCGCCAAGTGCATGTAGGCAGTTCACAACCGACATCAAATTCTTCCTCAGGCTTCTTCGACTCAGGACTCCCTCTGCTTCTCGACTCAGGACGCACCATGTCGCACCGTTTGTTTTGCTGATGTTTTGTTTCGTCCTTTGTTTCGTGTGAACACGTCACTCATCGTGACTCACATTTTATGGGCTGAACTCATCATAGAGGTCGTCGGTTGAGAAGAGTGCGTACTCCTCTGGCAATTCTTTTCCACGGCGTGGAAGCTCAAAATGGCCGTCTGCAGAAATCGTCTTGTCTGATGGTTTGACTTGACAGGGCAGGTCGGCAGGTCCTGCACTCCAAACGTGCGGCAGGCACGAAGGAAGTTGCAAATGTTTTCTCCTGGGCAATACATGCAATCCTGACCCCACCCTTCAAGCCACGGATGCAAACATGCAGGAAGAAACTTCGTGCTCTCGGCTCTGCTGGTGTATCTGTGCCGAGATTGGGACTCTCTTTGAAAGGCATCCCCGGTGTGTTCACCTCAGGTCCAAGACCCCCCCGTGAAGCCAACACCTGCGACCTCAGGGCATTTCAGGGCACAGCCTTGGCTATCGTTCCAGGCTGGATGCAGTTGATGAGGTCGCACAAGATCGCACCTGAGCCTCAGAACCGCACATGAAAATGGACATTCCGCGCATTCCATATACATGACGGCCGTGTTTGAAGCAACGAGTCTTCGCAGCTTTGGCTCAGCAATGCTTTTCAGGCCAGCTTGGCTAGTCTTTGGTCTCCCTGCGTCTCAGTTGACCCAGTGACCTAGTCCAAGCAAAAACAGTTCCAACACGCTCCACACACCCATGATGACTACTTTCACCGTCTTACAACGTTACTTAGCTCGCTGGCACAACCTGTACATCAGGGTGTTTGGATGTATTTCGTTCCCTTTCCCGATCAGCTGAAATCAGCCGAAAATGCCCTTGAAAATGCGTCCCAGAAAGCCACCACTGCTCACCTGCGTGAGTGTCGAATCCACCATGGTGCCACATGACTGCAGAGCGGTGCTGGCATTCACCACCAAGGACTGCAAGTTGCTCAGTACACCATCCGCCTTCATGGTGAGGTTGCCAATCTTTTCTGGGGTTTCATCTCCGAGTGCCACTGCCAAAGGACCGGCAAGAGAACTGGTAAAGGTCGCCAAGTGTTCGTTGAAGCTGCCCCTGAAAGACTTGACCGTTTCAACTGACTGATCCAGCAACGAGTCCATCCTCTTCAAGGATTCTCCCAGTTCTTTCTCCGTCGCAGCAGACATGTCCTGTGCAATGGCCTGGGTCTTGTCGGCCAAAGAACTCAACTGATTCGTGGCAGTGGACTTGCAGCCATCAATCTTGTCCAAGAGATCCTTCTGACCCATAGCGGAGAGCACTGTTTTGGTGGTGTCAACGGCTGCTTCGATCTTGTCCAAGGTTGCTTGGTACGAAGGAACCATCTGCTCTACCATGTCTGTCACCAGTTTCTGCATTTTGGTCAGGTTTTGGCTTACCGTGCCTGTCGCATTCGCGGTGGCCCGAAAGGAGTCGACTGACTTGTTGAGTTTCAGGCTGGCTTCCTGAATGTCCTTGTCGATGCTATCGAGGGCGTCACTGATCTTGGCCGTCACCTGTCCAATGCCTTGATTGGCAATTTCATGCGCTGCACCGACCACATTACCTAGAGTGTCCCCAAGCTTGTCCAAGCCAGGAATCTGCATCTGTTTGTCATCTGAACGAATTTGCAGCAGCTGAACTTCATCCTGCTCACAGTCCTGGCGTTGCCCAGCAGCAAGGGCAAGCAAACACAGGGTTTTAATCACTTGGGAAGTGAACATGGCTGAGTGTTTTGGCGCAAAATGGGAAACGATTCGATGACGTATTTGAGCTCCAATAGCGCCCGGTCAATGACATCCTTTTTGATCCTTTTTGTGGTTCTCAAGTGGCAACTAAGTCTCTAGTACTGCAGCGGCTGAAAGTAGAAAGCTAGATTCATAGCCCTCACCCCCGCACCAAAAAAAGAATTGTCCCGCCAAGAGGCCCTAAAGTGTAAAGTTCGAAAGGGACGAGTCCAAGGTAGAGCACCCACGATCACAGGGGAAGAGAAAGGAGGGGGAAATGTAAGCGGTAGAAGGAAGAGAAGGGGGCCGGTTACCTGGTCGAAGCTTTGGTGGTTCACTGCGTGCGGTGCCGCAGCGAAGCAGGAAAGGTGTAAAAAGGAAACAGAAAGGCAGAAAGCAGAACTGTCGGGAATGAGCGCACACAGGTAACACTTGCAACTGCAAAACATATGACTTCAAACGAAAAAGAGCAAGTTGAAATTGCAAAAAATAAACGAAACGATCTCTACTTCTAGAAGACTAGAAACAATTCTCTCTAGGCGACAGAGGTCTAGAGGTTGGGAAAGCGATCCAAGTAGGGATTAAGAGAGATCTAGATACAAAGCTCCATGTGAAACAGTTAGCTAGAAGGACGAGGAAGAGGAGAATAACTCTGGAGAAACATGTTTTCCACGATTTGCCTTCCGCCAAACTCCCACAACGTAACATGCACTGAGATCCCCGGCGCAGAATTGTACCAAAGTTACCCTGAACGTGGTGACCGGTCACAGCCTGGAGTCGCAAGGGCACGATTTGCACGGTGCCAGTTCGGGGGGCCTTATGGCCTTATGGCATGTCTTGCTGTGCATCCTGAATTAAAGCATGATTGCACAATCAGTTGGCAACCTACAAACATGGCATACCAGTATACATACATACCACAATAAAGGCTTAAGTCCGTGATACCTACCTACTATCTCCAGCAATGTCTCAGATCAAGTGTCAAAAACAATTGCCTCCACCCAATGCGCAGCAGCTTCTTCCGCAGTACGGCTGTACTTTGCAGCAGCCTGCAGCAACTTGCAGGTAACAAAAGCAAAGGATGCACCGTGAATCTTCTGACTGTCTGTATGCAAAATGCAACCAAGTTCTTGCAGGGCTCATAATCATGCAGCAAGTCCGTGCACGGACATATATATATTATATGTACGTTATACATACAATATAGTTAAAATATACATATGATATGTACTTATTTAATTTCTATCTGTCTGCCCCTGTACGGCAACATTGCACATATATAGTTGGATTGCTTTTGGCGGCAGAATTCAGTTGTCTACATTCTTAGCATGAAACCGAACACCAAGGCCCTAAGGCACATTCATCAGGTATGATGAGCTGGCTAAGGAACCTTGGCCTTTAACTCTGCGTCCAGGCCGTAGCATGGCAAGTCCTGCCAAGCATTCAAACAAACATGTTCGCGCTTTTCACATCCATTGATCCTTGTTCTCTTGGTCTTCAGCAGGTTGCTGGTTGAAACAGGCTACGTAAGAGATCTGCAAACACTGCATTATGCTGAAAAAGTATCTCGGTGTCATCTTTTTGCTTGTCCTCTTGCTTTGGCCGAGGCGAAGGTGCAGCATGCCTGTCGCAAGAACTGACATGACGTCGCTTTTTGCCCGAACAGTGAGATTCTCATTACCCTTTCTAAACAAAACATGGTCAATCCTCTCATGGCCAAATGCAACGCCCTCCCTCGTGATGCAACCCAGTAATATATGACCAGCCTGTGCCCTACGCTTGCAGCGCGAGGCCCCTGAGACTCACAGAAACACCAAAGCACCGTCTAGCAGTGGGACAACTAAGTAACGATGACGAACAACTGCTCATGCAAACGCAGTCACATACAATCACTTCAAAGTTACTCCATATATCTCGATCTCGTGCTCACAAAGGCGCGCACCACTGCGCGCCACTTGAGAACTTCATGCTACTTCAATGCTTCATGTTGGAGTCTGCCTGTGACACTAACTACACAATCTTATATAAGCACAAGAATATGTGATTCCCGTGATTCGTGGATCCGGGCAATCCCCCGACATTCGGCGTGGGATGTTGTTCACCAGATCCACGACTAGTACAGTAGCATCAGTAGCTACACCTACACCACGTCCAATGGCAGTTCCGTGGGTTCAAAGGCCCCGGGCACTTGAGCTTCGCAGGACTGGACGGAGCTCGTTACTGCGAAAGTCCCGCGCTTCCACCTGCGCAGGTCGGAGCAGCGAGAGGCGAACGGAACGAAGAACCGACCTGAAAGATCCCACGCCTCACTCTCCAGGCCATTCCTGAAACATCCCAAATCCCGGGCAGTGACACCAGAGTGCAAACTGACAAGACAAGCATCCTGCTTAGTTGACCGATTCCAGCATGAAATGACTTGCTGTCAACTTGCATTGTCGTTCCGATTGGCTTGTACAAGGAGGCCTTTTTGATTGAGGTCAATGGGCAAGTTTGTCATGCACACTGTAATCTCAGCATCCAGATGCATCAAGTCTATTCAGTATATAAGTGTAGCTCACTCAGGGCCACTCCTTGGCGGTGTCCGGGGTGGAGATGCGACTGACGCAACATCCACCTCAGCTAAGAGTCAACAGTAACATCCCAGTCGTGCAAACAGCTGCGCAAGTATGGCATCGCCAAGGGCCAAGGCAGCTCCCAAAAATGATATTCATTGAGATTCCAAATAACAAAAGGAAGAAAGGCCAAAAGTTTAAAGGATTCTAAAGGTCTACCGAAAAGAAAAAAAGGAAAGAAAAGGAATCTAAGATTCCGTGCAGAAGGCAGTCTCGGGGGTACGGTCCAGCGGCCCTGACTCTCAGGGTCGCCTGCCATCAGCTTTCAACGTTCGGTGTGAACTAAGAACCGTAAGAGCCATCATTGGCGCTGAATTGGGCAAACATAGAAAAATGAAGAAGCTAGCGAAACTCATGGTTCAATATGGTTCAGAACCAGGTCTCAAGGACACTCATCTAGAAACGTGCACTCCGGACTAGTAAATCGACAACAAGCCGAGCTTTGTGGGACAATGCCCGACGTCTTGCCATTCAATAGTGAGTGGCCTCTACTCAAGAAGCTCTCACTGCTGCTGCTGCCACAAGCACTTTCCTGGCAAGTCTTGGGACAATCTTCAACCGCAGGCCTGCAGTCCTACTCTACAGTGCAAGCGAAAGTCCAGCAACTACAGTTGTATGACCTTGAAGGACACATACATAAAGCAAACTATGCAAACGTTGCACTATATGCACACATATCATATGTACACATAGATATAAATATACAGCTCGGTGGGAGCAAAACGAACCTCCACTCTCAACTCATAGACTCAGTCCTTGGGGCGCCAGGCCAAAGCAACCTCCTCCTCACTGGGCGGAGCTACAACCGGCGCATCTTCCAGGTCCTGAACAACTCGTGTTGCGATTCTTTGGAAAAAGGCATCAATGGCAGCTCCGGGTATGCCCTGGCCTGGCTGCTCACTCAACCCCCATGTTGTCCACGACATCAGAATATACTATCATATTAGTACGTCATTATACTATATTTATTCTATCTATCTATCCAAAAAATATTGTTGCTTTTGGTGTGCTTTGTGATGTGCTGCTGTGCTGCACAAAGAATCATCAGCTACATGTGGCACACCTGCATTGCCCCATCCCCAGCGCAAAGTTGTACTCTTGACTCGAGCAGTCGGGCATTCCTTCAGCAGTGCCACGGACGGGCGACGCTTTGACAATGTCGTCTTTTGCGCCTTCGTCAAAGGTGTTTCTCGACAGCTGTTGCTTGAAGTTCACATCACATTCTTCAAGCACAAAGCACTGCCGCTTTGACGGCATGACGCAACTGTTCTACCCATGATGAGTTGACACAAAGTGGCAGCTCGTAGAAAGAACATGAAAGAAAACACATCTGCCCAAGCCTGCCACTCGTGGATTTCCAAATTGACCTGGCGTGCTATGGCACAACTTGGAAGCCTGTCTTGTCATCATGTGTCATCATGGTCCACAGTGGAACCAACACAGTCGACTCAGTTTCTTTTACCTTTTGAAACAAATTTTGGAAGGGCAACAAAACGGTAGAGAAACTGGTTCTATCTTTGCACAGCGAGCAAAACAAACTAAAGGGGATACAGCCAGCATTTGTGATTGGAATCAATACATTGCAATTTCAATTTCAATTTCTTTAACCTCCTCCAGCACCGGCTTCTCAGCCGCGAATGACGGACTTTTGCTCCACCCTAGCATGTTCTCATCACTGCATCCCGATGCCTGGGCATTCTTTCATGGACGACAGAAACTCTTCTTTGGATTTCTTTGGTAATATTGACATGCTGGCATTGAACAAATTGTATCAAATCGTGTCTCCTTGTCTCCTCACGCTATATCGCTATATGGGTGTGTATTTGTTTACCGTAGTCGGGCCGGGAAGTTTGAATAGGTGGTATGATTCGGGGGCATGATTCGAGGGTATGATTCGCAGCTTTGAAGTTGTTTTGTTGGATTAGTTGGACTTCCAGCAGTGGGCCCACTCTGCGCCGAGGCAGTAGGCAAGCAGCATCTGTTGGACGCTGGTTGGATGCTGGGCAGACTAGGCAAATGCACTCTTCCACCAAAGACTCCAGTGGCCCTCTCCAGGCCCCACCAAAACAACCAGGATGTGGGATGGGTGGGAGACTGTGTGGAGGCACGTGATTCGGGTATGAATCGGGCATGAACCGGGTGTGGTTCGTATGGCCATTAGATTCTGCAAAAGAAGGCGGTCCCTTTAAGGGAGAGCACATGGGAACATTATGAGCACCCCTGGGATGTGAGCCTTTGCTCTTCCCACAAGAAGGCACAAATAGTTTTGGACAAATTGAGTGCCCATGGATCACACAATTGCAAACGTCATGCAGCATGCACATTGGCTCATGGACATCTACCAAAGACCAACCAAAAACTTCACCTTAACACCTGGTTCTTACGTGTAACGTTTTGAGGGGTATGATTCGGGGGTATGATTCGAGGTATGATTCGAGGGTATGAATCGCTCAAGTCGAACTTCCAACCATTACACCAGGAAGTACACGCCAAAAAAATGCAAACCCATATAGATGACTAGGACTGAAGCCGTATGCTGCAGGCTCTTCAAAGAAGTCAAACAATTTCTGCTCCTCCTGCAAAGCCAAACAAAGCTATACTAACATATCAAACATCTGATGGCTCTCTGCCCAAAGCGGAATCACAGAGTCCCATCACCTGCGATGAAGCTGGCAAGCCGCCTTGAAGCTTCAATGCCTTGGTGACTGGTGCTGCAATGCCTTGAAGCTTGATTTAGCTTACAGGGTTCCAAAACAAATCAAAACCTCTCATTCCTACTTCAGGGTTCAACCGTCATCCACACTCTTGCATTGCATGAGTTTAAGGACTCAGCTTGAATGGCTTTCCGGGGCCCACGTCGAAGCGGTTTTTCCTGCACTTGCCTGCCAGGCACGAAGTAGTGTGACGTACATCGTATTGTCCGCCCTTGTGCAGAGACGTTCCAAACTCTAAAATGTAAGGCCACAAATCAGATCAAGAACACGAAAAACTGCGGAAGCAAAAAGCAACTAGAAGGCCTCAAAACGATCAAATATTGAAACATCAAGCAATAACAAAGAAGCCCGTAAAGCAACAGGAGGCAAGAATGATTGGCAGGTTGCTGAGTAGTACAGGAAGGGACAAGTGAAGGAGCACGCTGGGAGAAATCAACAATGCTTGCAGCTTGTTCGGGATTGGCCTTCTCTTTGGGCATCACCAGGCAAAACAACAAAAGAATGGACAAATGCAACTCCAAAGGCAGTGATATGCAGTTGAAGAAAAAACAACACAATCAGAAAAACAATAAAAGGTGAGAATTACGAAAACGCCGAAGCACATAGGACAGAAAAAGAAATGCCGCATGTATGTTGCCATCTGTTTCTTTACCTTGTTCTTTGTTTTGTTTCCGTCTTCTTTTGAGTTCCTTTCCGCTTTCTAATTATTGAATATTATTGATGTCTGTTTCATAATGTGTGCCTACGGCCCGTACGGCTGGATGTGTATCATTGTATTCATCTATAATTATCTCGACCTTCTTTAATATAAAGGTCTCTTAAATGATCTTGTTGAAAATCGCTTTTTGAAGTTGAAACATTCAGAACGTTGATGCACTTTAGTAAAGACTTAATATACTGTATATATATATATATTTATGTATTAAAATGTATATATGTTTAAATTATACAAAAATATGTAATACTTACTTTGTCTTTTGCCACACTCTTCTCTGTCATGTTGCACGACTATCATGCCATTCCGACTTCCGACTCGCTCTGGTAGCACCTCTTCTGCGGGGCTCGAGGCGCTGCAAAGCCACCGCTATCTGTCGGTCAAGTCAATCCCATGTCGGAAGAAAACGAACGCTGTGAAGAACATTAAAAGACTCCATTGCAGAGGCTGTTCATGATCTTGGCTCGTCAAAAGTGTGTGAGTTCTTCCACCATTTCTTGCCACACCCACCAATTAGAAGCAAGTTGATGATGGTACATGAATGTGATGTCACCGCTTCTCCTATAAATGTCAGCTTGCCAAATGCATTCGAGGCGATCTAGTAGCGCTGGCCTTGCTGTGTGACACCAAGACCTGCTCCAAGAAAGCGTCGTCCAGACTCGCTTGCAAGTTATTGATAACAGAATTAGTGCATGTGTATCGGAATGTGTTTTGCATCTCTGTTCTCTTCGCAGTCTTGCGCCTTTAAGCTGCTCCTCCTTCTCGTTCGAACTCCTCAAACCAGCTGGTTCAGCTGGACGGGACGACTTTGGCCTTTGCAAGGCTTGGTGATTTCCATCCACCACTCACAAGGCAGATCTCTTGTCTTCGCGTCTCATCTTCCATGGACAAACATGCCATGTCGCATAGCCGCATTGCTCCATTGGCCCCTCCAGCCTGTGCCCCACCTGCTGTCCGGGACGGACATTCTCTGATCCATGGCCACCACGCGGAAGACGAAACCAAATCCACCGAGACACATCCCAAGCTGGGCCCTCCAAGCCTTGGCGTCTCATGGCGTCTGTGAAGAAGATCAAAACGGCAAGGGCACAAGCTAAAATGAATTCCATGGCATGTTTGTGTCAAACTGGCTGCATACAAAATGATCAATAATGGGTGCATACACAAATGAACAATTACAAACATGAAATGTTTGGCAGTTTCACAGTCACACATGAAGAAAAATGCTGCTGCTACATTATGCCAGCTGAGCTGCCTCATGCTGTCGATACGCGGTTTGTGTCTAAGCAAAAATTACACACGCACACAGCTCTACTGACTGCATCCTTTAGGTAGTCTTCCGGAATGGAGTTGCTTCCTTTGCATTAGCAATTTGCTGTGTCTTTGTGGTCAAACTAGTCATAAATTTACAAATAAAGCTCTGCGTGCCCCACCCAAAAGGGTCCAAGAGGACAAAACACCAGATTGGTCTCGTGTGGTCTCGTGCTTGGGTTAGAACATTCAAGACACAAAAAGGAGTACCATCTCATGACTGCAAGTGCAACAGCTGAGTAAGGATAGAGTTGGTCAGAACACGTCAGAGCTCTTCCGCCGCATGCCAGTACAAATGCGAGGCGATTGACGCCAGAACGAGATCAAACACGTCGATGGAAACTGAAGCAATCCAACTTCCAACCAAGCCTCGGAATTTGATGTAGCCACCCTCAAGCGCGTGCCCAGGCCTCCAAACTCGCAATTGCAGCATTCGGAGAAACTGATCTAATTGATGAGCATCGAGCTCTTCCGAGCTGAATAAAGCTATATCCAAACTTAAAAATAGTGTCCCCGCTGCAGCCTCATCTGATCCAGGAATATGACATCTTCTGTTGTGCGCGGGACACCGAACCACGTACAGCCGGTGATCAGCAACTGCGAGCGTTTGGGATCCAGCACGGCACGAGCAATATACCTGCAAGGCGCTGAGTTCGCTATGATAGAACCCGTCTGGAATCGAGTCAATTCCAGACGTAATTGCGTGTTATGGACAATTTGTTTGTGCAGCAAACGACAAGGAACACATGCACATAGAAACCGAAAAAAAAACAAAAACGTTTCTGGTCCTTGTGGCCCTCTCTCTAGGGGTAGAGGGCCGGTATGGTCTCAAGCCCCGGGTGCAACAAAGGCGGGCAGGCGGGGCACTACTCAGCTGGGCTCTTAGAAGCGCACATTGTTCCTAGTAGTATGGCCAGAGGCGTTAGGCTCCAGCCTACCCGGGGCACGCCCGTCGCCTCTGCATTTTGCAGGGGTACCGATTGAGCCATGGCATATGAGGTTCTGCCCATTCGTACTGCTTTCTCACTGCGGTCACTATGGAGAGGAGCTACAAAGTTCCAGGTTACACCCGTGAAGGTCTTGCAGCGAACCAATGATTTTTCTATCTTGGAAGTTGCTGATTCGGCGGGTGCTCGGTTGAAGATCAAGGCCACGCGACAATTCGTGCCACTGTTCCATACTGCACACAGCAGCGTGAATTTCGCATGGAAGGAATGTGGCAGGCTCCGCTTCGGTTGTCAGGTTCCAACCGAGACCTTGACTGAAGATCTGTTCCTGCTTCGAGATCAGTCCAACATTGCTAGAAGTGCATGCGACCCGCATTACAGACCATTACCAGAATTCTTCGAACCATGGGCGCAGCAATGGGCCTCTTCAGAGCAAAGTACCGATGATCTTCCCGAACCCTGGATGGAGGGTAAATTCGATTTCTCTGACGGACAGGGAACCCACGGGAACCGGGCGAGCAATCCAGATCATCTTCCAGCTCAAGGTCACCAGTCAGAATTACCCTCTGC